CACTAGGAACCCAGGAACTGCCTGCAGTGCATTACGTGTCCCTCTTCAAGGTGAATATGAACCAGAATTTCATATTCCTGATGAATATGTCACGTGTCGTGTTATGAGCGGTTCCTGGATTCTTTACTAACTTGCCCCTTATGTATGTATGTGTGTATATATACACACACACATATATATATATATATATATATATATATATATATATGAATGAGAGATTGATTGATTGATTGATGGAAGGAAGAAGCAGATTTTTGTTGTCTTTTTACTTTGCAGTGGGGGGTAGTAAAAGGTGAGTTTGGTTGGCTTTTAATGGACATTCTTCTTCTAGAAATGATCATAAACCATTTGGTGCATGCTAATGTAGGGACTCCAAAACAATCATGTGGTTTTGCTATTATACCTTCTCATTCTCCAACCAACATTTGGATCTTCACTACAGATTTCATTTCAGATTGGAGGTTCAAGGAAACTGTTGGCTACAATCATCTCATCTGTCGACACAATTGATACGGAATTTCAAATAACTGTTAAATATTATTAAAAGATGGGTTATGCAAGATCAATCTGATCAGATTACAAAACGTGTGAAACATGTTCTTTAATGTTTCACCGTACCAATCAAACTTCAACTCATTTACGGATTGAGATGTTTATAGTTTTTTGTTATTTGTGCCGTACATGCAGTCGCATCAACTTAAATATAAATACAATGAACATCAAATGGCCATGCATGCGTATAAGATGATGATTGTGTCGATGTGTTTATAAATAAAACACAAACAGCAACAGCAACAGACCTTCTACAATTTTGATATAAACAAATATGGTTGAAGGTGTAGTTTTTCAATGGAAGCAGTTGCATGCATACGTAGGTACCCAAGGTTCTATAGGTTTCAATTTTCTGGCTCTACTTCCCAATTTAAATATTAAAGTAAATTACAATTTCGTCCCTGTGTTAGTTAAAAATTGGAGGTTTTGTTCTTATAGTTAAGAAATTATGATTTCGTCTCTATGATTTATAATTTATTGCTATTTTTTCCTTGAGCTTTATCTCCTACCTTTTTCTAAGGGCGCCTAGGATGTGTCTGGACTAATCCCGACAAATTGTGACGGTAAAAAATCAGTCATGATAAACCCAGTGGTTACAATTGTTGTCAGGGGCCGATGTACATTAATAAAGGTGGGGGAAAGGCCCCTCACTTAAATGTAATTTTTTTAAACATTGTAGGTAAAATTTTGTTTTTTTTTTACTCTTATGTGTTTGTTCCTCCTAGTCATTTTCGACGGTTCACTCCAGTGACCTAGTCTATATTAACGAAACCCCTGTTCTCTTGCTTGACAGTCATTCTCCCTGTGTACTGTTACCGCTAATTTTTGCAATCATTGCTATAATGATACCATTGGTTGATGAATTTGTTAAATATATCTCAAAATCTTGGTATTTTTTAGTTTTATATATGTTCAAAACTAATTCGTATGGAAGAAAATTATATAAATTAAATAATATTATACTTTGCTATTTGGTTAACCAATATGGTAAAAAAAATAACCGAAATCGAAATTTACGTTATTTGGTCAAACAAATCGTTTAACACGTACACCGAATAACTCGAAACCATTTTGGTTTGGGTGATTTATTCGGTTCCGGATTTTTTTATACCTTAGGGACCCCAGTCACCTAAGTTTTTGGATCCGTTACTGATTGTTATGTACGTTCTGGAATTGAACCCTGGGTAGATAGGATATTCCACCACATCCCACAGGACTTAACTCCTACCTTCAAGTACAAGGGAAGAAAAAAACGAAGAATTATAAACCATATGGACCAAAACAACAATAAATTATAAATTATAAAAATAGTATAAAGATGAAAATCGTAATTTTAAAACTATAGGGATAGGGACGAATGAATAAAAATTAGATTATATAATATTGGTTTGGTGAAAGAAATGTATAAAAGTAAATTTGAATCATGTTTGCTTCCCTCATCTATCATGTGATGAGGGCTATTGCTCAACTATTCTGTGTTTTCTTTCTTCTATTATTTTTCTATCAGATGTTGGCCATCACCCACCATTGTGTTTGTGACAATGGCATACATACAAGCAGCAGAAATTGGGCTCAAACAGCAAATGGTATCAGTGTGGGTGCATCTTGATGACAAATAGTTAACCAAAAACCAATATTGGTTAAAGAAAATCAAGAAACAAAGAGAAGAAATAAATTTGAATGACAAAAGATGAACAAAGTTAAAAACACACATTCACTGATACCATCAAGGAGAAACCCTCACTCTGTAATACCTTTTTATACAACTATCTCTCTCTCTCTCTCTCTCTGTGTACATATATATATATATCACCAGCAGGATCAAAAAGAAAGCAGGATATAACAATCCTAGTATAATCTTTCAAAGCTGATTACCAGTGTTCTTTGGTTTCCATTGGTGAGACCGGTTCATAAATGGTTTGCTTAACGGTATCAAGAATGGCATTTCCAGTGAACCCATCATCTGTTGCGTAAAAAAGATTGAGCACGTTAGACATGTTCCAAAACGCATCTTTGCAAGCTTTTGGAACAATGCTTCCCTTTGTTTGCAGAACTAATCTCATCAATTCTCTCCTCTGATTGCTAATCACCATCTTCATCTCCTCCACAACCCCTTCTTCCGGAACCCCATTCTTTCCATGAATCATGTGCAAACTTAAAGCATTCAATTTGCCCGCCTTCATTTCTCTCTGCATAAACACAAACCCGTCAGTAGCATTTTTTAGAAGCTGATCAAGTGAAAAGCATCTACCTTGAAGCCTTGGATATCGTTCAGAAGGCGACCCTGAGTGCTCATTAGCTTAAATAGATTGTGGTATTCAGAGCTCTGAACGATCTCCTCTGACAATCTTGGACCAATAAAGTAAAGAGCTGGGAGTACAATTGGGCCCAATGCAAATGATACGTATCCATTTTCCATATACTCGGTTATTGTTGGCACCCGATCCTCTTTTGACCATATAGCTTCTCTCAGCATACTCTTCATCAAATCCAACCACTGTCGAAACAAACAAGAAAATGAATTCCATCTTTCTGTAACGTTTATGTGCCACGTATTGAGAAAAAAAGTTGCAATTTCATTGGTGTTCCTAACAGTCAAGATGACAATGAAGTCAAAAACAAGGTTGTACCAAGTTCAGAAAATCACTTACCCTTGAACCACAAATATGTTTTAGAGGGAGAAAGCAAACAAAATACTAGATCCTCGAAGGATTTCATCTTACCGTTTCAATAACATGACTTCTAATGTCTAGTGCTTGCCATTTATAAGCTTTGTCTCCAATCCAACAGATTGCATCCTTGAGTGCTAAAAATATAATCCGAACTTCCTCTGAACAACAATCATCGTCCACATTTATGTTCCATCTGCAGTTGATAATAACAAAATCATCAGCACCTGCCCTAGAACAAACAAGGGCCATTTACCCAAACGCTTACCGGTAAGTTCTTACCGGGTAAGATTGTAGTCCATCAAAATGGTATCATATGCAACAATTTACCCGGTAAGCGTTTACCATGTAAGAGACTCCATCCTTATGATCGCTCTTACCGGGTAAGATTCTCGGCCCTCGTGATGTTCATCCGGTAATGTAAATGACCCGATAAGCGCTTATAGAATGCACTTATCAAACGGCCCCTAAGTCTCAGTTATATCTATGGATCAAGATTATCAAAGAGTATATATTGAGGGCTCCTGGAGCCAAGTAGATCACTGACTAATTTGAACACTATGCTCACTACAACAAAATCGGCCTTATAGGACACCAAATGTCCTAATAGACTGTTCTATAGGATTTAACTTTATAGGGCCAAACAATTATGCATCCCATGTAAAAGTGTTACGATAAGTTAATAGATGCTTCTGGGCATCCTAACAATTTTATAGGATCTAAGTTTATAGGGCCAAACGATTGTGCATCATATGTAAAAGTGTTGCAATAAGTTAATAGATGCTTTTGGGCATTCTAACAAATTTTTTAAGACACTTGAAATAATTCATCCTATTAGTCTTTTTATAAGAATATTTTAAAAACAATTATCCTATAAAAAGATTTGTTTATAGGACACTTCTCAAAATTGTCATATAAAAAAGCAAACAGTCCTAAAAACTTGTTAGGACACCCATAAACGTTCTATCAACTTATTGTAACACTTCTACATAGGACCACAACTGTTTGCTACTATTAACTTAAGTCATATACAACAGTCCATTAAAACATTTAGACATATTTGGCATCCTGCAAAGCATTCTATTAAGAAAATAAGACCTATTTGCCAGTTTTGTTGTAATGGTTCTCCACAGAGAGAGAGAGAGAGAGGGAGAGAGCAAAGGAAGTGAAGAGGATCAAAGGATGACATACTTTTCAACACACTGAATCAGGTTAACCAATTCATCCATAGAGCCTCCAACATCAAAGAAATCATCAACCACCGTAGTGAGGATACCATTTTTGGCCCATGAAATACGGGCATCCGATAATTCAGGAGAAGAAAGTGTTGAAGCAGCAGAGAAGTAACAGTAGGCTGTCTTCTGCCTAGCAAACTTCAGCTTGTCCAATCTATTCTCCACCACCCACCTGCTCACACACAGAATTATGTAATTGAAACAAAAATCTTTCAAGGGTGTGTTAAAAGTCAAAACACATCGATGGTTTTAGATACACACCTTTCTAGACCTTTTATTTCCTCACGGTAAATAGATTGGCATGCATTAAAATCTTCCACTGCCAACGTTAGGTAATCTTCGTTGCTAATGTTCAATGAACTGACAATATATAGAGTTAAGTGTTCAGAACTCTGCAGTAGTATAATCTAAAATCCGACGAGTGTTTCTTGCTCAAGACTTGCAATTAAAACCTCACCGGTATGTAGTTTTCAAGATTCTTGTATCGTCCACATTGTAATGTTCTATATTTCTTCTAGTAGACATGCGTTCTAAACTGGCATTGGAAGGGAATTTAAGAGCGTTTTCTACCTGATTTAATATTCAGACGGTTGATTAAGTCAGACAAGAAAAAACAGACTGATATTATACTAAAAGGAGTTAAAGTCAAAGTTAGAACACCTCTTTGTGAATAAATTTAGAGTGCCTGTTTGAAGGGCTTGAAGCAGTGGATATTTTCCGTTTAAGGAAATCAATCGACCTCAAATTTCGTTCTCCGAAAGCCAACTCCTCTTGATGTATAATCTGTGATGCGCGATACACCTCAAGAGCTGCATATACGTCTTTGAAAGGCTCTTCAAGTGAATTCATGTAATCCCCCTCTTTGGTAATATCAGCCAATAGATCTACGCCACAAGCCAAGTGACGAGACTAAAAAGATAAGAAGATTTAGGGAAATAATTTAAGGTATCTTCCTTTGAGAAATAAATATACCTGAGGAGACTTCATACCCATTGGTCCTTAATACCCGAAAGGCTAGAGCAGAAGTGACAACGTCCATGAATATTTGCTCGTCCCTCTGCACCCAACATCTGTTTTTTTGGCTAATGTCAAATTTCCAACTAATGAAATTTGAAAAATTCCTAAATGCAACAGAATTTTGAAAAGGTTGACCAAATGAGTTGCAATGAACTCATTTGATTCAACCAGAATGCACATTACCTGTATGTTTCATCTAAAACATTTTGGATTTCCACCCTGAAATGCCGTGAGATTCCCAATTTTTCAAGTGTGTCAACCATGTGAAGCCGCACATATAAATCAAGAGGGTATATGGTTGGGACTGACATTCGCACACACGACCACTTAAACTTGTTAGAAAAATGTAGGAATTATGCATAGGATATGGATGAATATGAAACGGCTAAATGGGTACCCGCATTCCCAAACTTCTCCAAGAGAGAAGTTAGATAATTAAGACAACCAGCATCTCGATGATGAATAAGAGCAGCTGCTGTTGCTGAAGGTGAGTTGAAAAGAGAACCGCTCTTCATTTGATATTTCATCACCATGTTCCAGTCATGGAAATTTCCGAGTCCTTCTGAAATATATGCCAAGTATGCGTCCTTCTTATATGAATGACATCTAAGTGAAGATAACAAATAAAAACTTGTAAGTAAGGATACTTCTGCATTACATTTGTCAAATAATTTACTACGGATTTCTCAAAATCATTATTTTCTTTGCAGTAGAAACTCACATTGCTTAAAAACATCCAATATTTACTTACATAAATGTAGGTGTACGTGTGTATTTCTCTCATAGTTTTCATGACTAATCATTCTTTTATCAAGTCAACCAATTTTAGCATAAATTTTCATGATAAAAAACCATACCTTCTTATCTCCAATTCTCTCTGATGTAGCATCACACTCAAATCTGTTTCGTTTAAAGGAAGCCTTATGTTCGAGTCCTTTGCATACTCAAGCATACCAGGAAATATGATATCAAAACCAACTGGAGATGGTTGATTCTTGTCAGTAGCTGAAGCGAAATTTGACTCGATAAAACATAGACCTGCAACAAGATTCGACCTCTTATATATCTGGAAAAACCTTCACAGACAGTGTGCAGGAAGAGAGCAAACAGCCACATACCCTTGTTAATTTGGTCTTCCCCAACATTCCATCGTTTTAATGCAAGAACAGATGCTAATGTTGAAGAAAGAGAATCTTTAAGTAATGGGGGATGATGATGATGATGAAGACCCCATGAACCATCATTAAGCTGATTATCCATCACCCAGTTCAGACATTCAGGGAAACAAGGGGAGTTGGGAGAGTTTGGAGAAGGGACCATGGCTACCCAGGCTGTGTCATATGAAGATATAGAAAGTTCCACATTGCTCAACAGTTTCTTGATTCGTTCTTTGGTCATATCAAGTGTCTGCATACATATAGTTTGAAGGTAAAATAAATTAATTTGAAGTGCATTAATGAACACAGAGAACTGAATGAAGCCAGTCATACCAGAACAGTAGGATAAGCTTGTCCAGCATGCGAAGAAGCTGCTCAAACAGAAACTCTGAATTAAGCCAGGAAATGAAGGAGTTCCAGAAAACGTGAATCTCAAATATAATAATATGCATCATTGGATTGTGAAGAACTAAAACACAGGACATGCAATGAAATATTCTGCACTAAGAAAAATAATATGTATCTTCTTCTGGGTATGTTGAGATTTTGCATAACCAAAAACAAGGAAGTTGGAAAATCATGCATAGAAAGGGTCTTTCTCTCTATTATATGCAACAAGTGAAAGTGCTTGTTCTGAAAATCAGTCTAAGAAGGCACCTATGTGGAGGCAGATGTCAACCATCTCGACCACGGTATAATTAAACTCCTGAGAAAATTAAATAAAAAGATCGGCAATTTAAGCAAATTAAGCATGATTTGTGGAGTTAAGCGCAGAAACCAGATTTCAAAATGTCAAATTAGAGGAAAAAATTCAAGATTTCTTGATAATTGATATTGAATTTCTTTGTTTGAGAAAGAAAGAGAAAATGGATTGTTTATCTTGATTGACTTGAACCCTACCCACATAAATTTATACACATGGCTAAGTTAAAGGATGAACAAGTTGTGGGGGACCAGCTAATAAATCATACACTTGCCTAGTAGTTAGTAGATTGCTGTATCTAAGTTGAAAATAAGGAAAAACACAAAAGAAGAAAAAGAAAATATAAAAATAAATATTACAACATTTCTACTATCTCCTCTCTAGTCAATCTTTGCTTAACTTACCTGCATGAAGAGCTGACCGACTGCACTGCTCCATGCAACAACCAACCACCCACGACTGATGTGGTTTGTGCAACGAAGGAACCACCATGATCAACGATGTGCTATGTGCAATTTTCATTGACGTTTTGCTTCCCTACTCCGATTTACTTTAAATGCTTGGTTGACTCTTGAGATCTGAGAGTATGTTCAATAAACCTGAATAGGCAATTAAAAAAATATTGAATCAATAAGCGGTCTGAATTATTTATAGGTTGTGCATTGAATTAGTACTTAGTGAAAATTGATTATTTGGTAAATATATTGAATGAATAATCCAACTATTAGAAAATCACCATTTCAACCCTCTGAATCATCATGAACAATAAGTTTGTTATAAAACTAAAATAGATGTTATAGCAACATATTGCTGGCTAAAATATAATGAGATAACAAAGTGCTTGCCAGCGTAATAGTTTGAATGCAAATCCGGCTAGTGGCTCATCAGCTACGAATACAATGTCTGAAATTAACTATGCATTCTACGTAAGCCTTTGGTGAGCTAAAACTACAAGAATCATGATCCCATTATAAGCATTTTACCATGGAGTTGCCTTCAAATTTGATCAAGCTAACTTATTGCTCACAGTTTAACACATTCGCAAATCAAGGTTGTAGCAATCACTACTATTCCAAGTCCCAGTTAACATCAACACTCTGTAATCCCTGAAGCAAACACTACCAATGCAAACTCCCCCAATTCCAAAGAGAACTGAACCTATGACTTCCAGATTTTGAAAGTCATACAGATTTCCTTGCAGATTCAGTACCAAACTTTTTCATTGGTGAATTGAGATAGAGTTCATTCTTCGTGCCCCAAGTTCTGAAGTCAAACTGAGTTTCATTCTTTTTTGGAGCAAACGGAAATTAAAAGAGGCTAACTGAGAAGAAACTCAATCTAAAACCGTAAATTCTAGCATAATCACGATGACTTAGAGATACCCTGATCAAGAAAGCCATCACAATGCATTCTAAATCTTCATACGTATAAGAAGGATTCACAAAATACTGATGAAAAATAAGTCTTGCCTGTCAAACCGAAGAGGGTTGTAACCGGAGAGAGGGCAGAGAATGAGTGTAACTTCCCCCCAAAATAAAAACACTATACATGTTAGAATCGCTTCTTTTGAAGGAAGGTATGAAATCATAATTGCTGATAGAGTGTAAGTGAACATCCCTTCCTCAATTAGTGTAGTTTTGTTCTCTGTGAAGTCCATTGGAGCTTCAATAGAGTCTTCTTTTTAGAAAATGCATGTTGGAATCGACATAAAAAGAAGCACATGGGAAGTCGAACAAAGAAAACCTGACAAGCAAAAAAGAATTAGTGAAGTTACCTGAGAAGAAGAAGAAGATGCGTTGGAGAGAAGAACAAAATCGATGGAATCCAAACACTTGAAACCAGACGCTACAGACAAAGTGAGAGGAGAGAAAAGGAGGGAGGCGTTGTTTGTGGAGCAATTTTGTCAAGTTTCAGATCAAAGGATCTTGGGAGGGGATCTTTAGGTGATTTCTACGTGCTAATATACAATAATTGTTGATTAAAGAGTATTTTTATTTTTCATCATTTATTGGAAAATATACGATAATTGTTGATCAAATAAATGGATGGGTATGACTAGTTTGTAAAGTTTGTATAAATTATATGGTTTGTAAGATAAACTTCCTCTCTCTCTATATATATATATATATAGAGAGAGAGAGGTTGGTTATCATACAACCCTTGACATTTGTGCAATCAATACAACTTCAATCTCTATCATTCATTTCGTTTGATTAATATGTGATTTCATAGAAGTTTTTTATTGTTTCATAATATAAAGTTCGATCATAATTAATGAACCATATTTATCTTCCATAAATATTCAAATCATAATAAATGAACTCTCATCATTTCCATAAATATCTCAATATGTTGGGTTGTATTGGTTGTACAAATGCGATGAGTTTATATTATAATTCTTCTTTTAAGAGCCATGTTTTTTAGATCAGTGGGATTTAGGCTATGTTTGGCAAATTGGTTGATAAGCTAAATTGATGAACAAATTATTTTTGGCAAAAAGTAGTTAATAAGAATGTAAAATGATCAAAAAGAGCATTTTAAAAAATTAATCATTTATAATGTTTAAAAATCTAATTAAAACAAAACTTTAATAATATAATATATAAACTAGGGAAAAGTGTAAAAAAACTCAATGGATTTTAGTGTTTGGAATTATTAAGTACTTAGACAATTTTTTGGAACAAATAAGTCATTGGACATTCCAAAACATGTTAAATAACTTCTTCGACTTTCTAAAACCTATTAGATACAATCTTATGACCTATACAACTGGTTTATGTGGTAAAATTATTGAAAATGTCTAGAAAAAAAAAAAACTAATAGATTTTCATACTTTTAACGATTAAGACTTAAACATTTTTGAACCAAAAAAGTACTTACATCTATAAAATAAAACAAATATACCAAAAAAAGTATTTACATTTACAAAGATTATTGATGAAATTTATTTTAATTAAAAATAAAATATATTTTGCAAGTGATTTTTTAAATTAAAAAAATAAAAAAGATTATTGATTAAATTTATTTTAATTAAAA